TTTAGGATGCCTAGGTGGGTGGATCACTTGAGGTCAGTAATTTGAGACCAGTCTGGCTAACATGGTGAAGTCCCGTCTCTACTAAAAATACAAAAATCAGGCCGGGCATGGTGGCTCACGCCTGTAATCCTAGCACTTTGTGAGGCCAAGGTGAGTGGATCATCTGAGGCCAGGAGTTCGACATAGCCAACATGTCGAAACCCCATTTCTACTAAAAATACAAAAAAAAATTAGCCAGGCCTAGTGGCAGGTGCCTGTAATCCTAGCTACTCGGGAGGCTGAGGCAGAATTGCTTGAACCCAGTGGAGGCTGCAGTGAGCCAAGATTGTGCCATTGCACTCCAGCCTGGGAAACAAGAACAGAACTCTGTCTCAAAACAAACAATAATAATAATAATAATAATAGTAATAGTTGCAGGACGGGCACCATGGCTCACGCTGTAATTTCTGCACTTTGGGAGGCCGAGGTGGGCAGATCACTTCAGGTCAGGAGTTCGAGACCAGCCTGGCCAACATGGTGAACTCTCGTCTCTACTAAAAATACAAAAATTAGTCGAGCGTGGTGGCACATGCCTGTAATCCCAGCTACATAGGAGGCTGAGGCAAGAGAATTGCTTAAACCCGGGAGGCAAAGGTTGCAGTGAGCCGAGATCACACCACTGCACTCCAGACTGGGCAACAGAACAAGACTCTGTCTCAAAAAAAGAAGAAATACTTCTTTTTTTAATTGTAGGTATTTGTAACCATATATTTCACTCTTAGCACTGCTTTTGGTGCATCCCCTAAATTTTGTTATGTTGTTTTTGTTTCAAGGTATTTTCTAATTTCCCTTTTAATTTATATGTATATGTAAATTAATATTGTTGTGATAGGTTATTGGTCATGATATTTTACAATTATTTTTCCAGCATTTTAAGATGTTATGTTCTGAGAGAGAGTGCCTGGCACTAGAGTTTTTAATTTCAATGACTGCTTTTTTCCATAGAAGTTCAATTTTTTCCAAGTCTCCCTGTTTTTTTTTTTGTTTTTTTTTTTTTTTTTTGAGACGGAGTCTCGCTCTGTCGCCCAGGCTGGAGTGCAGTGGCCGGATCTCAGCTCACTGCAAGCTCCGCCTCCCGGGTTCACGCCATTCTCCGGCCTCAGCCTCCCGAGTAGCTGGGACTACAGGCGCCCGCCACCTTGCCCGGCTAGTTTTTTGTATTTCTTAATAGAGACGGGGTTTCACCGTGTTAGCCAGGATGGTTTCGATCTCCTGACCTCGTGATCCGCCCGTCTCGGCCTCCCAAAGTGCTGGGATTACAGGCTTGAGCCACCGCGCCCGGCCTTTTTTTTTTTTTTTTTTTTTTTTTTGAGACGGAGTCTCGCTCTGTCACCCAGGCTGGAGTGCAGTGTCCGGATCTCAGCTCACTGCAAGCTCCGCCTCCCGGGTTCACGCCATTCTCCTGCCTCAGCCTCCCGAGTAGCTGGGACTACAGGCGCCCGCCACCTCGCCCGGCTAGTTTTTTGTATTTTTTAGTAGAGACGGGGTTTCACTGTGTTAGCCAGGATGGTCTCGATCTCCTGACCTTGTGATCCACCCGTCTCGGCCTCCCAAAGTGCTGGGATTACAGGCTTGAGCCACCGCGCCCGGCCCCTGTTTTTTTAAATTTTATTTTAAATTTTTGTTTGTTTTTTTGAGACAAAGTCTCACTGTGTGACCCAAGCTGGAGTGGAGTGCAGTGGCGTGATGACGGCTTATTGCAACCTTGACCTCTCTGCGTGATGACGGCTTATTGCAACCTTGACCTCTCTGGGCTCATGTGATTCTCTCTCCCGAGTAGCTGGGACAGTAGGCTTATGCCACCGTGTCTGGCTTATTTTTGTATTTTTTGTAGAGACAAGGTTTCTCCATGCTGCCCAGGTTAGCCTCGAGCTTCAGGCCTCAAGCAGTCCTCCTATCCCTGGTCATTTTTAATCATATCTTAATTTTTCTTTATGCTTTTGCTTCCTTTTTCATTTTTTAAAATTTTTTTGCTTCTTTTTTATGTCTTTGTTTTAAATATACTGTTCTTATTTTATAATAGTTCTGTAATCATGATCTCTAACCCTTTGAGATATTCCCTTAGAGCACCCATGCTAAATTGTTTCATTGTGTGTTTTATAATTTTAGGTAGTGTAGTCATGTTCACTGGGGCTTTAATTATAGAAATCTCACAATATCTGGGTTGAGGACCTAAAGTGGTATATGATCTGTCTACCTGAGTGACAGGCTGGAGTGTGGTTGTGTGATCACGGCTCACTGCAGCCTCTGCCTCCCTGGGCTTAGGAGATCCTCTCACCTTAGCCCCGTGAATAACTGGAACTACAGGCCCATGGCACAATTCCCAGCTAATTTTTTGTTTGTTTGTTTGTTTGTTTTTGGTAGAGATGGGATTTCGTTGTATTGCCCGGGCTGGTCTCAAACTCCTGGGCTCAAGCAGTCCTCCTGCCTCAGCCTCCCAAAGTGCTGGCATTACACGCGTGAGGCACAAGGCCCGTCCAGGCACATGTGTTTCAAATGATCAAAGGAAATTATTGGCTACTGGTTCTAGATAATTCTAGTCATATGATAAATGAGCATTTGCCTCCTTCCTGGGATTATTTTTGTTACAGAGGCCTTACATTAATTTTATTTGTCTCCCTGAGCCATTTTCAGTTTGTTTTTACCTAATACTCGTATTTCTCTTTCTTAAAGGGCAGGAAGTCTTAACATGTTTTTTAAAAAATAAAAATAATCTTGGCCGGATGTGATGGCTCATGCCCATGATCCCAGCACTTTGGGAGCCCGAGGCGGGTGAATCACTTGAGGTCAGGAGTTCGAGACCAGCCTGGCCAAAATAGAGAAACCCCATCTTTACTAAAAATACTAAAATTAGCCGGGCATGGTTTTGGGCGCCTGTAATCCCAGCTACTCAGGAGGCTGAAACAGGAGAATTGCTTGAACCTGGAGATGGAGGTTGCAGTGAGCCAAGATTGTGCCACTGCACCTCAGCCTGGGTGACACAGCGAGATTCTGTCTCAAAAAAATAATAATAATAATAATCAGATTAAGCTTTGAAGGTTAGGAAAAAACCTTATGCAGATAATATGGTTTACTAGTGAGAATTTAGGTAACAAAATAAGTGAAAGGTCAAAAAAAAAAAAGTGAGTTTTTTTTTTGACATAAAGACATGTGGTACGTTTTCCTGATTAATGTACTGTCCATGGGTAGGTGAAAACTCACCCATATTGGCAGGGGGAAGTATAACTTAATAGTTAATTTACTTTTATTTTTATTTTTATTTTATTTTATTTTATTTTACTTTATTTTATTTTGAGATAGAGTCTTGCTCTATTGCCCAGGCTGGAGTGCAGTGATGCGATCTTGGCTCACTGCAATCTCCACCTCCTGGGTTCACGCCATTCTGCCTCAGCCTCCTGAGTGGCTGGACTACAGGCATCCACCACCACGCCCATCTAATTTTTTGTATTTTTAGTAGAGATGAGGTTTCACCATGTTAGCCAGGATGGTCTCGATCTCCTGACCTCGTGATCTCTCTGCCTCAGCCTCCCAAAGTGCTGGGATTACAGGCGTGAACCACCATGCCTGGCCTATGTTTATTTTTATTTATTTATTTATTTTTAGATGGAGTCTCATTCTGTCACCCAGGTTGGAGTGCAGTGGCGCAATCTTGGCTCACTGCAACCTCCGTCACCTGGGTTCAAGCGATTCTCCTGACTCAGCCTCCCAAGTAGCTGGGATTACAGGCATGCACCATCACACCGGCTAATTTTTGTATTTTTAGTAGAGACTGGGTTTCACCATGTTGGCCAGGCTGGTCTTGAACTCCTGACCTTGGGTGTTCCACCTGCCTTGGCCTCCCAAAGTGCTGGAATTACAGACATGAGCCACCACGCCTGGCCTAAGTTATTTTAAAATGCAGTATAAATGCTATTATCTAGCAGGTCTGAGGATTCTCTTTAAAGAACTTTATTACTTTATTTATTTATTTATTTATTTATTACTTTATTTTTTTATTGAGACAGAGTCTTCCTCCGTCGCCAAGGCTGGAGTGCGGTGGCAGGATCTCAGCTCACTGCAATCTCTACCTCCTGGGTTCAAGTGATTCTCATGCCTCAGCCTTCTGAGTAGCTGGGATTACAGGCATGTGCCACCATGCCTGGCTGGGTTTTTTTGTATTTTTAATAGAGATGGGGTTTCACCATGTTGGCCAGGCTGATCTTGAACTCCTGACCTTAAGTGATCTGCTCACCTTGGCCTCCCAAAGCACTGGGATGACAGGTGTGAACCATCTCACTTGGCCTAAAGGATATTAAAGAAGAAAATTTCGAGCCGGGTGCAGTGGCTCACGCCTGTAATCCCAGCACTTTGGGAGGCCATGATGGGTGGATCATGAGGTCAGGAGATGGAGACCATCCTGGCTAACACAGTGAAACCCCATCTCTACTAAAAAAAATACAAAAAAAATAGCTGGGCCTGGTGGCGGGTACCTGTAGTCCCAGCTATGCGGAAGGCTGAGGCCATAGAATGGCATCAATCTGGGAGGTGGAGCTTGCAGTGAGCCAAGATTTTGCCACCGCACTCCAGCCCAGGTGACAGAGTGAGACTCCATCTCAAAAAAAAAAAAAACAACAAAATTTCACTATTTTATATCATAACATTATCAATAAATTTGGTAGACTTCTTATTCAATTGGAATGATACAAATTAGATGGAACGTAGATGTGAGCAGAAATAAAATTGCCAGATTGAGTATATTGAAGGTATAAAGAGTTTGTTTTCAAAGAAATATTGTATTTCCTATATTGTCTTAATGTGATCACATTGAACAACTATTTGTGATTGAGTTTGGAAGACTATGAAATCGCCCACTGCTTGGTTTTGAGGGACTTAGGTCTATTGTAAAAGACTTGCAAAAAGGGAGGATAAAAATGGGGCCTGGTGACATAATAATGACTAAATGTTGCTTCTTTATTTTGCAGTTCCAATTCCTAGCAGATTTAATAGACGAGTATCAGGTATGTGTTCTATTTCATAACATACTACTAAAATGCCGTTTTAAGATAGGAATATATTGAAAAAACAGATATGTTGAATAAAAAGATAAGCTCCCATCACAGAATATTATCTAAAAGTAAAATCATCTATAGTTTCTTTATTCTGTTTTTAAGTTCTGAGTATGTATATACATATTTTATATTGCTATAATTGGTACAGTTTCTCTCTTTGCATTTATGTCATTACTATTTTTTCATGTTTATAATTACAGCTTCAGAAAATGATTTTTCATATTCCTGTTTCTGGTATTCTGGCTTATGCTGCCATTAACTCTTACATATACCTTTTTGAGCCACTGGAATTATTTCCTCAGTTTGGGTGCTGGAAGTGGCATTCTCTGGTCAGAGACTGAGTATTGCCTTGGCTCTTTCTGTCTTATTTTCCAGAGACAGTTCACAGATTAGGCTGCTGGGAGAAAGGCACCCTGTACATGCCTCTTTTCCACTAATATCTCAATAACATGGAATTTAGATGTAAAATAGTACTTCACATCATTTTATATGGCATTTCTTTTGGTTGTTAAAAAAAAAAATGAATGCTGGCCAGGCGCAGTGGCTCACACCTGTTATCCCAGCACTTTGGGAGGTCTTGGCGGGCGGATCACGAGGTCAGGAGCTCGAGACCAGTCTGGGTAACATGGTGAAACCTGTGTCTACTAAAAATACAAAAGAATTAGCCAGGTGCGGCCGGGCGCGGTGGCTCAAGCCTGTAATCCCAGCACTTTGGGAGGCCGAGACGGGCGGATCACGAGGTCGGGAGATCGAGACCATCCTGGCTAACACGGTGAAACCCCGTCTCTACTTAAAAAATACAAAAAACTAGCCGGGCGAGGTGGTGGGCGCCTGTAGTCCCAGCTACTCGGGAGGCTGAGGCAGGAGAATGGCGTGAACCCGGAAGGCGGAGCTTGCAGTGAGCTGAGATCCGGCCACTGCACTCCAGCCTGGGCGACAGAGCAAGACTCCGTCTCAAAAAAAAAAAAAAAAAAAAAAAAAATTAGCCAGGTGCAGTAGTGCGTCCCTGTAGTCCCAGCTACTTGGGAGGCTGAGGCAGGAGAATCACTTGAACCCGGGAGGCGGAGGTTTCAGTGAGCCAGGATCGTGCCACTGCACTCCAGCCTGGGCAACAGAGCGAGACTCCGTCTCAAAAAAAAAAAAAAAAAAAAAAAAAAAAAAAAAAAAAAAAAAGAACGCTTTCCAAATATGGGAAATCTGTTTGTATTTTCTTTTTTTTTTTCTTTTTTTTTTTTTTGAGACTGAGTCTGGCTCTGTCGCCCAGGCTGGAGTGCAGTGGCTGGATCTCAGCTCACTGCAAGCTCCGCCTCCCGGGTTTACGCCATTCTCCTGCCTCAGCCTCCGGAGTAGCTGGGACCACAGGTGCCCGCCACCTCGCCCGGCTAGTTTTTTGTATTTTTTAGTAGAGACGGGGTTTCACCGTGTTAGCCAGGATGGTCTCGATCTCCTGACCTTGTGATCCGCCCGTCTTGGCCTCCCAAAGTGCTGGGATTACAGGCTTGAGCCACCGTGCCCGGCTTGTATTTTCTTATGTGGTACTAGGTTGGTAATATTTTGCCCTTTTTTCTGGTATAGTCCATATTAGTTTAAAAATAAGTTTGGGTAAACTTTCTATCCAGGTTTTTGACCTTTTGAAATTTTTAATGCAAAATTTCCTTAGGTGGTTATGCTATTTTTTTAATTGAGTTAGAGATGTTAATATATGACTGTTACCTCAAACACTGCTGGACACATAGGCACTCAGTAAATATTTATTGCATATGCACATCTTTTTTTTTTTTAAATGATTGTTTCTGAGAAGGCTCCCTTTTTTTCATAAAACTGGTAAATATATTTTATGAAAGTTTTTCTTAAAGTGTTTGACTTTTTGATAAATATGGAATTTATTTGGTAGTACAGTGGAATGTTAATGTGTTTCAAAACTGCTAGGCAAGTGGTATGTATCACATTGTTCTTTCATATTTCCTTGTTTTAGGAAGGTTTCTTGATTTAAAATTGTCATCTGACCTATTATAGTGCTAGGAATTGCTTTTCTTTCTTTTTTTTTTTTTTGAGACGGAGTCTTGCTCTGTCGCCCAGGCTGGAGTGCAGTGGCCGGATCTCAGCTCACTGCAAGCTCCGCCTCCCGGGTTTACCCCATTCTCTGGCCTCAGCCTCCCGAGTAGCTGGGACTACAGGCGCCCGCCACCTCGCCCGGCTAGTTTTTTGTATTTCTTAATAGAGACGGGGTTTCACCGTGTTAGCCAGGATGGTCTCGATCTCCTGACCTCGTGATCCGCCCGTCTCGGCCTCCCAAAGTGCTGGGATTACAGGCTTGAGCCACCGCGCCCGGCCAGGAATTGCTTTTCTATCCCTTAATCTTTGTCTTTGAGAAAATCGGCTTATTTATGTTTTCAGAAAGCTTTTGTTATCATTCTACACAAAAATCTGTTGAAAGGAGGTTGAAGAATATGTTATGGTAAGAGAATCAATATCCTGAGAGTAGGTATTAAGGTTAGTTTGATACCCGTAAACTATTATCTTCCATTTTTGTTCATCTCTGCCCTGCACCTTTTTTTCTCTGAAAGATTAGTTAAATCCCTTGACATCTGTAGGATAGGTCTGGGAGATGGAGAGTATAGTGATACCTCCTCCCTAGGTCACAGTTGGTGTTAGTTTGTGAATTGCTGCTTGGCCCTCTGCCAGTATTGTTCAAATCTTGAACCTTGTGGAAGACTCAGACAAGTACATGGTATTATCCCTCCTCCTCAGATTTTGTAATCTTAGGATTTAAGATTGAAATGTTAAATGAAAATAAAAGATTTTTCAAATAATTCAGTAGGATGATACAGGAATCCTGTAATCATACGTAAAGTATCCTCTCATAATACATTACATTTTTTTTTTTTTTTTGAGATGGAGTCTCACTCTGTCCCCCTGGCTGGAGTGCGGTGGCGCGATCTCGGCTCACTGCAAGCTCCGCCTCCCGGGATCATGCCATTCTCCTGCCTCAGCCTCCTGAGTAGCTGGGACTACAGGCGCCTGCCACCACGCCCGGCTAGTTTTTTTTTTTTGTATTTTTAGTAGAGACGGGGTTTCACCGTGTTAGCCAGGATGGTCTCGATCTCCTGACCTCGTGATCTGCCCGCCTCGGCCTCCCAAAGTGCTGGGATTACAGGCGTGAGCCACCACGCCCGGCCTACATTACATTTTTTAAGTGCAGACTGTGTGCTAGGTGCAGTTTTAAGGACTTTCTAAATACCTGCCTTATATTGTTGAATATAATCTTCAAAAAAACACTTTCAGTGAGGTCCATACCATGATTATCGCCAATTTACAGATGAGGAAACTGGAAACAAAGCAGAGGTTTAGTAACTTGCAGTAGTTGAGGTGAGCATATGCCCATAGGTAGCATGGATCCTAAGTACTTAGCCTTGCTATCTCTAAGGATTCTTTCTTTTACCCTCTGGAACTCTTGGTTAGTCTTCAGCTAAATCCCCCAAATTCTCACCCTGTTCTCTCAGTGCAGCTTTCACTTTCCAGCTGTAGCTGAAGCTTGGCTTGCCCTGTAGGCTTCTCAAACAATGGCTCTTTCCTCTTCTACCTTTCTTGTAACACTGACGGGAAATGGGTGAATGTCTATTGATTCTCCTGGCTGCTTCCAGATCATTCTCTATCCCTTCTCCCTGAAACCTTCAGTTTAAAACTTCGCATTATGGCTGGCCATAGTGGCTCACACCTGTAATCCCAGCACTTTGGGAGGCTGAGGTGTGAGGATTGCTTGAGCCTAGAAGTTTGAGACCAGCCAGGCAACACAGTAAGACCCCATCTCTCAAAAAATTGAAAAAATTAGCTGGGCACGATGGTGCACACATGTAGTCCTAGCTATTCAGGAGGCTGAGTTAAGAAGATTGCTTGAGCCTGGAAGGTCAGTGCTGCAGTGAGCTATGATCGTTCCACTATACTCCAGCCTGGATGACAGAGTGAAATTCTATCTTAAAAAAAAAAAAAAAAAATTGGCCGGGCGCGGTGGCTCAAGCCTGTAATCCCAGCACTTTGGGAGGCCGAGGCGGGCGGATCACAAGGTCAGGAGATCGAGACCACAGTGAAACCCCGTCTCTACTAAAAATACAAAAAATTAGCCGGGCGCGGTGGCGGGCGCCTGTAGTCCCAGCTACTCAGGAGGCTGAGGCAGGAGAATGGCGGGAACCCGGGAGGCGGAGCTTGCAGTGAGCCGAGATCGCGCCACTGCACTCCAGCCTGGGCAACAGCGTGAGACTCCGTCTCAAAAAAAAAAAAATAAATAAATAAAATAAAATAAAATAAAACTTAACATTATTATATTTTACCAGCCACTGCTCCTCCTTGTTTTAGTCATCTAACAATCCCCAAGTTGTTCCTACTTATTTCCACATATAGATGATTCTTCCAATGTCTGGCCTTCCATTCTTTGACCTCCTCTCCTCCAAGAATCTTGTCCTCCAGTTGTCCACCCTACTTCAGCCACTCACTCCCAATAGTCATACTCTGCTATGACAAGCATTGCAACTCTTTATCATTTCAGTGAGTGGTCCCATTCTGCAACCACTGCCTGCTGTCTTCTCAGCTCCTTTGCTGTCCTACTCAAACCTGGATAACTTGTTGATTCTGTAGTCTTTTTACTATTCCTCACTTCTTCCTTACTAACCTTAAATTCCTGAGTCAGTGATTATAATCACTCCCTGGCACATACCCTCAATTTGCTTTTCCCTTTAAGTTTTTATTATTTATTTATTTGTTTGTTTATTTATTTTGAAACAGGATCTCACTCTGTACCCATGCTAGAGTGCAGTGGCATGATCACGGCTCATTGCAGCCTCAACTTCCCAGGCTCCAGTGATCTTCCTGCCTCAGCCTCCTGAGTAGCTGGGACCACAGGTGCACACTACCATGCCTGGCTAATTTTTGTATTTTTAGTAGAGACAGGGTTT